AGCAACGCCATCCCCTCTTTGCCAATCTTTGGCACCCAGACAATACCTAACCATTTGGGCGCGGCCGCGGCGAACGCGGCCGAGTCGATAGTGCCCGCGAACCGTTGAAAACGCACTCGAGGTGCCCGCGAACTGTGCTGTGCTGAGTTCGCGGGCACCTATCAACTCGGCCGCGTTCGCCGCGGCCGCGCCCAAATGGTTAGGTATTGTCTGGGAGCCAAAGATTGGCAAAGAGGTGGTGGCGTTGCTCCGAGACACATGTTCTGATCCCACTCAGGCCAACCAAGTCCTCCTACGTTCTGGGACCAAGCCTTCCTCCATATCGGGACCAAGTCTTCCACCATTCTGGGGTCAGTTATATAGAACCAGACCCGTATTTGGGAAGAGCAAACTCTTTTTCACTTTGACGCCCGCACCCTACAGTAGAGCTCAAACACACATATACTATTGCTTTTTTGCTATTGCTGATTTTGAATGGAAGTCCAATACACAACCACCCGAGACGGGATGGATTACCTCCTAGCGCTTTGCTTACTTAGCAATATTACTTTACTCAAGCTCCTATGCTTCGAAAGACACATTCTTTCCTGAAGTTGTCTATGTGCATATTGCTATACTTGGTTCTTATCATTTCTATCCAGGATTATAAAGAGCACATTGTAATGTATGTGTGTCGAAGCAAGCATGCGCGGAAAGTAAAGGACCTGAGTCCTTTGGAACAAATAAATCTAAAAGACACTTCTACTCCTCTAGCCTGGGGAAAGGATAGGATACAGCCCAAGACGAGACATGCTTGCTAGTCGACCCTTTTCAATGAACAGCATGAAAAAGGTGGAAAAGAGTATGGCAAAATTCATTACAAATAGGGAAGGCTTACCAGTCTTTCGCTTTATCGGCTGCTCCTGAGAGTCACTCAGTGACAGAAGAATCTCCGGCTCGGAGTCAGAACAAACCCTTGATTTCTCTGATAGAGTTTCACTTGCAGACCTCGTTCGAAGCTGCAAAAAACAGAAGCGCTTTCACCCGAAACAAAATTAGCGGAATTATTAAGTTGTTTCGAAGATACGAGATCGCATGGAACTCTTTCGGGAATAGGTTTCTTCGAAAGGCCAATGTCATAGTTTGCGAATCGAGTGATCCGCTAGCGAATCGCTCGATTCGCAAACTATGACGTCAGCCAAAATCGGACCGTTGAACGTTTGCATATCAACCTTCCCGGGAGAGTCTTTCGAGCAAGCGCCTACCCTTCTGCATGTGAGCTCTTTTCGAAGGATGTTCAATCCCCAAAGAATAGTACACGACCCATAAAATTCAAAAGCAATGGAAACAGAAAAACACTGGCAAAGCTATGAAGGGGTAAGATACAACAAAAGCAGTAACCTGTCAATAAATCTAAACCCCGTTCTATAATGAATGAGAACCATAGAGAAATACTGCGAGTAAAACGTACAAAATCGGCTACCTCATCTCTATTTTTGCTCGGTCGTGACGAAGCGATTAGAAGCGAATCATCTGACAATGCCTTTTTGACGACACAAGCGAAGATGTCATCGTATCGCTTATGGAGGACTATTCGCTCACGAAAACGAGTCGTATAGGTTCTGCTGAAAGGCAAAAAACTTATCATTACAAAACCTATGGCTTATACATACTTCCACTTCCACTACATCAGAGGGAATATGTAAAAAAGTGGTTTGTATGGAATAAAATCGCGCACAAACAGTGTCCTCTAGACAAATTGAAAGGCGTATTAGACAAAAATCTCGAACCGACCAAAAGAACTGCGCTGAAGAAGATGAAAAGTGGTGGAGGACTTGCCATAAAGCGTAATTTTCAAATGACTTAGGAGAAACAAATTTCTATGGCAGTGGAAGAATGGGACGTTCTAGTCCACGCCTAGTGTAGTAACAGAGCGAAAAGCACTTTCAGCAAAAAGAGGAAAATGCCTTTATGGAGATAAATTATACTATTTTTCGCAATGTTTTTAGCAAGCAATTATAAAATAAGTTATCATCTATAACTGGAATAGCAACAACTCAGTTCCGGTGTTATGAACGGGTAAAAATTTGAAACTTACTCCACTTTCTCTGCGGCTGGAATCGGTACCGTTTCCCAGTAACAAGGAGATTCGTCTCTCAGACGCCGACGTGCGGTTTTCCTGAGGTGAACAACAGTTGTAAGGAAATAGTGATAGTAAATGACAATCAAAGGAAAAAGTTGGACAACGAAACAGACAATTTGAAAACTCACTTGCTCATCGTCGCTTTCCGATTGGCATCGTTTACGGCGCACTTGCGATGACTGACTGCAAAAATAACTTGGAAAACTTGATTTGATATTATAAACATTTCATGAATGGAACCGACAGTCGAGTAAATACGTCTACGAGCGCTAAATTAGGTAACTTCCAAAGCTCGGGAGATAGCTACGTGCATTGAATCTTAATTCGCTGTTTTCATCGATTTTCGCGATTTGCGCGATTTTCGCGATTTGCGCGAAACCTGCGATGGATCACAGGAGTTGGAAGTGCCCGATGAATACTGCGAGGTGTTGTTTAATCCTGCTGCGAATTCTGCTTGACAGTAAAGATTGAAAGACGAATGTTTGTGGTTCTACTTGTTTCATGTTCAATGTCTATCAGTTCATTGAAATGCTCATGATTCGTTCCTATTCTACCCTATAATTCTATTAGGTACCGGATATCTTAGTGTCGCTTTTCTGAGTTCAGGAAGTTTTGGGGCCGATTACTATGGAAAATCAATATCTCAGAACGTTCTTTTTGCTTATTAATACTACGTAATATGTTGCTTATTAGTCTATTGTTACTTTACAATTTACCTCTCCCCCAATTTTTATACCTTTTTCTGAAAATTCCTGGGTTCATTGCGCAAATTCGTATGTGTGTACCAAATGCCATCAAAGTCGGGCTGGGAGCTACAGATCCGCCAACCAAACTAACATTGCTTTTGTTAGAGGGAATACTACCGTTTGGAATGCTCACCGGTTCTCCTCAGTTTTCTTAAAAGACAGTGAAGTTTTTGAAAGGATGCCTGCAATCGTCTTCAAAAAGATGGCCCTAGTTAAGCCAGCTGAGAAGGGGCTGCACCAGACTTGTGCTGAAATGGTAGGATACTTTCACTGTGATGGATTGATGATGCGCAAACATTCCTATGAATTTGATTCCGCAAGATATTCTGATAAATGTGCTCACCTGCCTCTCACGCGCGCTCAAAAAGGGTGCGTTTTTGACCCTATGTTGCAAAAAAGTCTCCGTAAAAAACTGCCCACTTGGGCTGATAAGTTCTAATTTTTCTGTCGTGCAATGCAGACCCTACGCTAACCAGCTGTATACTTACTTTGTCCAGGCCTTACTTTTTAGCAAGTAAGAGGGATGATTTATCAGAGGATGTCAAAACCGACCTGCCTCTCCTTTTTAACTCAAAAAATTCCGAGCTTGGATCGTGCAAGGTTTCCACTCAAACTGTTAGATGAGGGGATCCTAGTAAGTCATTTTATGATTAAACTAATTCGCTCCCCGGGTTTTGAACTGAAATATTGCTGGTCCAAAACTCTTGGTGAAAAAACGACATTAAGATATCCGGTACCTAATAGATCTATCAATAATCAAACAAAGTGGAATCGATGAGGCAATCATCATTCAGCCATCGTATAAGCAGAGTTGGCGTGCGGCATTGAGACACTTGCAGTATCCAGCCTTAGAGAACGGGTGAAGCCCTGGGACTAAGCCTTGGAGAGGGAAGGGATCCGCGAGAGAGCGCAGGCAGAAACATCAAACTGAGGCGGTTTAAGGACAGAGTTCAAGTAGTCCGTCGACCCAAAATTCCTATGTTACTTTGGGTCTCAGGACTTCTGTCAACCGTGAAGTTTGGCGGTTCAGCGTTTTGTAGTGATATATGGGAGCTCTCACAAGTGCACACTATCAGAGTATCTCTCTTTTTTTTATCTCCTTTAAAAGGCTTACATAACAACACAAAGTGTCGGGCTCCCCCACTTTCTTCACGATTTGGGGCGCGGCCGCGGCAAACCCGGCCGAGTATGCGCCATCAGCTTACCTGAGTATTCGACGTTACATTACGTATCGCAATGTAACGTCGAATACTCAGGCAAGCTGATGCCGTAATGTAACGTCGAATACTCAGGTAAGCTGATGGCGCATACTCGGCCGGGTTTGCCGCGGCCGCGCCCCAAATCGTGAAGAAAGTGGGGGAGCCCGAACATGATGTGCTTTTCCAGCTACGCTCTCACCCTCTGTTTGACAGAAGCCTTGTAACCCTCGGAGTCCCTCCCTCCTACAAGGCTTAGTCCTAGGGTCTCACCTCCTTCCCTGGGATTTGGAGCCGCGCCAGGCGCCACTGGCGACAGTGAGGCGCGGTTGCGCGTCTCAATTCCACCATATTCTGGCTTGTTTTTTTTTTGATTTATCGGCATTTTTCATATTTCAGAACAATGTGCACGCATTATGTCATCTGAAAAATCATGATCATCACCAGTTGTGAAATTATTGAAAAAGTTTTGATGAATGTGAAAAAATAAAAAAAAAAGTGCCGAGGTACACGCATAAGGGGATGTCGTCAATGTGTTAAAAGGCTTAGGCCTAATCAAAATGTGTGCTTTCTCAGCTACGCTCTCACACTTTGGTTAACAGAAGCCTTGTGACCGTTGTGCAGGGAAAATTTCCTCCAAAGTTGAGTGAGTGAAACAAGGACTTTAAATTTGAAAATCCCTCCACTCGCGCATTCAGAAACGAAAAAACTTCAATTATGAAGTTGGGATTTAAGGAGCACCAATACCTCGAACAAACACCTCGGCTTTAAGGACAACAAAACAAAGGAAAAAATGGAACGGTGAGAAGCAGTTTGGTGTCGACCGTGATTGACAAGAAGAACTGAGAACACGACGATCGATTGCCAAGTGGCAGCGCCGGTCAGCTGTACGCGCAAGGAGTGGTCAGACCCCGAAAGGGTGAAACAACAGGGACGGGGAACCACAATTGCACCCAACGTACATCTAATGAGCAAAAAATCGCCACCGAGCCACGAACGACACACAGACAAATTCCAAAACAAGTGAAATTTTACAAAGTCCATATGAAATCGATGCGCAATAAAAATACACAAGAACAACTTATCAGTATGGTTTCCTAGGTTCCACCGTAAGTACGTCGCACTAGGGCGCGCTGTGTGAGTGTTGGAACGCCCAATCGCCTGTCTGAGGGACGCAGATAGTTGGTAAATGATAGTTGTAATTAGTGACAATCGATAGAATACAACTGCAACAGGCTAATCATTTCATTGGCAGAAAACATTAACATTTTGTGAAGGCCGTCGTCACTTGTGGTGCATGGTCTGCACCCGACACTTTCTCGCTTTTTGAAGGGAGGGTAGTTACAGTCGATATCTCGAACTCTGATTGGGCGTGTCACCGGAAATGACGTGGCAGCCATCGCACTTGCTAGATGCCACGTGGATAAGATACTCCGCCAGATATCAGCGAAGCATGCTGGAAGCAGCTTATCCGCGCAATTCATTTTGTACACTACTGACTAGGGAGTGTGATCATTTTGTACTCCTACTGACTAGTATAGGGCGCCATTCGTTGCGGGACCCACTGCCTTAACCCGCGGGGATCCCATGTGATCGCGGTTGAATTCGAACATTCCAGCTTCTCACGCATGTCAAGTGTCTGCCCTCACCCCCCACCCCCCTAGACTGGCGACACTGCCCCTGGCTCACGGATTCCCCGCTCCACATTGAAGGGTTCACTGTAGCAGGAGGCAGTGGGACCCGTAACGAATGGCGTCCTTTACTAGTCAGAGGAGTACAAAACGATGCGTTCCTACTGACTAGTATAGGGCGCCATTCGTTGCGGGACCCACTGCCTTAACCCGCGGGGATCCCATGTCGCGGTTGAATTCGAACATTCCAGCTTCTCACGCATGTCAAGTGTCTGCCCTCACCCCCCACCCCCCTAGACTGGCGACACTGCCCCTGGCTCACGGATTCCCCGCTCCACATTGAAGGGTTCACTGTAGCAGGAGGCAGTGGGACCCGTAACGAATGGCGTCCTTTACTAGTCAGAAGGAGTACAAAACGATGCGTTCGTTTGGCGCGCCAATTTCTGATCAAGCGTTAGCTGCTAACGCATATTCCGAGGTACACGGCCCAATCAGACTTCGAGTTTGGAGTGTAACCTCTGTTTCGTGCAGCCAGAAATCCACGTGGCACACGTGGCTAAATTCTCGATGAAAAGGTGACATCACGTGTGCTCAAAGATGTTCTTGAATCGATGCCACGTCAATGCCACGTCAATTTCTGCAATTGCACAATTTCTGGTCATTTGAAGGCGAGGGTATACAGTCAGATATCCGAAAGTTGGGGTGGGTGTGTCAGTAAGCTAGCGCGAGCAGGGGAACGTGCATACGCCGTGCTTCTGCCTAGACTCTTGTACTTACTAAGAGTTTATCCTAATGTCATCAAAGAACAATAGAAATATTGATCATGAGCAACGAATAAACCGAGACAGAACCAAGAATATCCGAACAAAGCAATAGAAAGGCACAAGTAAACCAATAAAGCACGACTGTATCACGAGCTGGTCTAGGTAGGCTAGGGCATCGCCCCGACGATGGAGAAGCTGGACACGAGCGTCCTCGGTCCGCAGATACGGTTGACTCCTCGATCGCTCCTTCGGTCGCATCGCCACGCCCTTGAAGCATAGGATGAGTCACACCAAAACATCATGACGCGCGCTTGCATGGCGCCGGACAGTGACGTGCACTGAATAGAAGTGGGCGTGTGCCACTCATGCATTTGCTGATAGCCAGCGATATACAGTTCATATCTCGAAGTCTGATTGGGCGTGTCACCTAGAATGACGTGGCGGCCACCTGTCAGATTAAAGGGTAGCTAAACCTCTAACCTGAGTGTGTAGCGGTGGTATTCATGTTTCTATGTAGTACAATAGACTGGGACTATATACACTTTATTACTTATAGATACATAAGAGGGAAGTAGGGTATACAAGTGAGGAGGTAGTCGAAGCCGAAGACAGACGAGGTGAGCTCGGCCACGGCCCGACGAACCCGCTGACTGCCGGCTGCAGCAGCTTAAGTAGTCTCCGCCGTGGTTGCGAAATGCTGGATGGCAGGCGGCGCATGTGATTGATAGTCTCTTGCATGGAGGCGAGGACACGCCATCTCCATTTCCTACAGCAAGCTCGTCCTCGAGCTTGAAGTGTTCGTCAAATCGTTTGGTAGAGGTCCTTCGTGAAGAAATACTGTAGAACACAGATCGGTTATGATGATGACGTGGTAAGTTAAGTGGGGATGCTGGTGAGGTCGGAGTGCCATAACATATGACCGCGTCCTTCGCTCATTACAGCGCACTTGTTCAATTCTACCATACTGTACCGATTGGAGACGCATCGCATCATCAGACGTGTCCCTGTCGAGTATATGCTGCACTTCGCACTGGCTGAGAATGAAGAGAGGTAGTTGAGCGTGGGGCTTGGATGAGCTTGGCTGAACGTGGTCTTGGGCTGAGCGTGGTGAACGTGTGAGGCTTTCTCCCTTTCTCGAAAGACGAGCTCGTCCTCGAGCTCATTGCGACAGCAGTGTGAGAAGGAGCGTATCGTTTCTAAACGTGGCATGATGTGAGGAAAAAAATACAACATCAATGGCATAGCCACCTCTACTACGAGTAAATGTCATACATGTTGAAAAAAATGCTAAACAGATTAATGAGTTAGGAAAACATCAAAGAGTCTAAAGCGTACGAGTTATACAATTGGTTTTTTTTTATAATACTAAATTGTATGTGTATAATCACCCTTTTCTTTTGTAATTTTGTCGTTATTTATAATATGATGCTTGAATGTCCATGGTAAACAATAGAATAATATGGATTAATGTCAAGTTGGACAATATGAAACTGGAATAATGACATTAAGCAATATTATAAAGCATGTTTCATGATTAATAATCATGATTAATACATAAAGTACGATTCGAACACTAGTCTTTTGCACAGCACACAGTTTCTTCGACTAGTGTAAGGGCGTTTATTTAGAAAAAAATTTTTGTGACACAAAAACGCTGCGTGAAGATTCTTTGAACCGCCAATTCAAAGAATAATCATGGTTCGCGACAGTGCAGCCGTAATGGAAGGAAGACAAACTCACCATGGAGAGTAACCTGTTTCAGATAAACGGTTACATATCCTGTTGTGCTGAAAATTGACATTTCTCCTGAAGGCGGCGTGAGCGCCGTATTATCGGTTGTTCTTTGTCAGCTGATCTTTCCTGTGCGGTGGGCACAATTGGTGATTGTTGTGTATTTTGGGGGAGAAACATTAGCCGACAGAGAGCGTGGGCAGTATATTTTTAGTCGGTTAATATGTACGGTTTGTCGTGTGGGGCGACCCACAATGTTAGCAATGGTAATGTTAGGACGATTGATATCCTCAACCGAAAAAGGACCTTTCCATTGGTTGGTGAGTCTTCGGACGAACTGTGTCGTCATGCAAAAGTACTACGCCAATGGAAATTCCCTCAGGGGATACCTTGTGTAGGAGATCGTATCCTGTTTTGTACATTGCTGATTTGTTGGCGATTTCGTTCCGACTTCCATTATGGTGTTTTTCAGACCTGCTGCGAACTGATCCGCAAAATCATCCATCGTGAAGAAGAGGCGCTGAGGAAGCTCATGGAGAATATCACTCCATGTTATGGGACACCTACCATGCACTATGAAGAATGGGCTATAGCCAGTGGTCGCATTTTTACTGCAGTTATATGCGAAGGCGATGGGCTGTACAAAATCTGACCAAAGTTGCCTTGCCTCTGAGCAATATGCTGTAAGAGAGTCAGTCATTACTTTCACTAGTTGTTCTGCTTGTCCGTGCGCCTTATGGTTATAGCTAGTAGTAAACTTATTCGCGATTCCTAGTGCTTTATTGATTTTCAGAAAGACTCCGCTCGTATAGTTTGAGCCACGATCCGAGACGATTTCACGTGGGATTCCGTGCTTTGAAATTACGTCGTTGATCAGCGCCTTAAAGGACGAATTTACGATGGAAAAGCAACCCATTCCAAATTGAGGTAGAGATGGTGAGTGGTACAGAAAGAAGGAAAACCATGAGAAACGGCCCAGAACCCGAGAAATGGGACCCCTTCCTTGCCCGTTGATTTGAGCATTGATGCGACTCTCATCGCTGTGCCCTCTTCAACACTACGCTCTCTCAGCTATCTAATCACTCGCCACGTATTGACTACGGCGAGTGATCAGATGATCGGTGGGCGGAGATCGCCGAACCGCCAACTTTGAGGCATGATAGGTCGCCGAGGTCAAATTTTTCGATGCGAATTGCGCGTCAGTTCGCACCCTCAGGAGGTCCGTGGGTCCCCCACTAGGCGATTTCTCCCTTTCTTCGACCTTCGTTCTTTCC